TGCATTAAAAAAAGAAGAAGAAAGAAATTCCATCTGATTTTTCTTCTACTGTCAAACTTGTGAAATGCTTTCTTTAATAATACATTGGATCTTTGAAAAGAAAATAGTCTGGAAGAAGAATATTGTTCACTGCTCTCAACCAAAGACCAAGAAAAATGGTTTCTGATTCCTTTTGCGTTGACACATCCTCATCTTCAGTGCCTTCCACCCAGCTCCATTTGTAGCAGGGCAAGATAAATCCTTCCTGAGTAATGAAAATCCACATTTGGAAAGAATCTTAAAGGATAGGCAGAAGTGTTTGTTTACTCTTTAGATACTCTGCAGGACAAGTCACTCTGGTTGTCCCTTTAGTGGGTGATGGGACCGTGATCTGAGGCACAAAGGACAGGGTACAAGAAGGTAGGGGAAGCTTCTCTGGCTATTCGAGCTACCTAGAGACGTGTCCTATTGGTAGAAAGCAAAAGCGCTCCATTGGAGACTAGGGCCTCATTGAATACACTGACAGGCTAAACTCCGGTAACAAACCACCACCCACTCAGCGGCTTTCCAGATAAAGTTTAGTTACCACTCTAGTCGTACTCCAAACAGGCCAGGAAGCCCACCTCGGTTCGTAGCCTCCCTTCTGGATCTCCCAGCTTCCAAGGCTGCAGCAGCAGGGAACAAGGGAGCTGGAGGACTGCCTGAGTTGTTTTCCAGAGCCAGGCCTGAGAATGGCTTGTGCCACTTCAGCCTACATCCCAGAGCCTCACTCACATGGGTCCCACTCCAAAGCAAGCTGGGAGATGTAGTCTAGCCATGTGGGAAAGTCGGGGAAGTGTGTGGAAGACACATAGCTGTCTACCACAGGGTCAGTGGGGAGAGGTGACAGCGAAGGAGGACGGCAGAGGGAGCAGCTGCGGGCAGCAGATGGAAGTGCGCGCACCAGCTTCTCCTGAGACGGTTAACACACACGGGCCTTCCCTCTGTCACTGCTTGCTATTCGCTGCACTTGGCTAAGAGCACAATTTACGTGCCATCAGTCAGCTGTGGCATTGTGGAATCGACACCTCTGAACTGGCTACAATTCACTAGTGTGCATAGGCAAGGTCCCTGATAAACCGGAACCAAGGGAGACAGCCGTGACAGGGTGACAGCTTGTACACACTGAAATTCCGTGTTTCTCAGCTGACGTCCTCCTCTGTGCTTCCTTTTTCAAACCAGACAGGAGAGGGAACGAGGGCTGCCAGGGGCTCCCCTGTTTCTCATTCTCCTCCAGAATTGAATTCATGTTTCCCAGGGGACAAGGGCCCTGTGCTGAGTGAGGAACAGCTACCTTGCAACTTATTCTGTCTACTGCTTTCGGCATGGGTTAGAATCCCTTAGCCCAAGATTCTGGTGAAGAAAATAATCTCTCAAAAAACCTGCCTTTGGGGACCAGCAGTTGGTGTAATGGCTATGTCATTGGACTCCCATGTAGTCTACTGTGATTCGAGTCCCAGACCTGGTGGCTTAAACTCATGCGTGCCCAAGATCCTGAGGGCAGAACAGAGGAGAAGGGATTGTTGCGTGGCCATCCCCCCGGGGGATGATTTCTCACTTTCTGTCTCTCTGTCTCTTTCTGTTTTTCAAAAACAAAACCTGCCTTTGAATTGTTCGATGGCTCTTACTAGACTGTCACTATTCTTGCCAACCCCACCCTGGGGTCTCTACCACCATTGTCTGATTGCATCCGCTAAGACTGGCAGAGCAGGGCCGGCCCTGCAGTGCAGTGGTAAGTGCTGCACGTTGGCAGCCGCATCACACATGGCTGACTGCCGTCTGAACACTGGGCGTGTGTGCATGTGTGCCCACATTCCTGACTGGATGAAAAATTGATGGATAAAGGGATCCCAGCATAACCACGCCCCTTTGGGAGGTGCTTTCTCTCTCTCCTTCCCTCCCTCACTGGTGAGTGCACGTGCCCTCTGGCAAAAAAAAAAAAAAAAGTGAATAAATAAGAGTACTGGTAGGGGAGACTGTGAAGTTTTCTTTGTTTTTAGGACTTTCCAAACAGGTCTGCAGATCCCAGCTCTGGGCTGTGACACCCGCAGGTGTGTCTGGTTACCTACTGGGAGTGGGGAGGGGGGAAGCAATTACAAAGTCTGTGGATCCAACTATAATTTAATTCCGTTTACACCAGCATTTTTATGAATGAGAGGGCTTTTCCTGAAGAGGAGCTTCGGCGCAGAAGCCTACGGGACACATGTGCATGATGCCCTCAATCCGGAAAGGAGGGAAAGGTAGTGCAGAAGAGGTTGTGGCGTGACCACCCATGAGGGGTGCCTTTTCTTCTCCCTCTTTCTTTGTCTCTGTCTCTCTCTGGCAAGCACAAGCGCCCTCTAGGGTAAAACAAACAAACAAACAAACAAACAAACAAAAAAACACCTCTCCCTTGAGTGAGAGAGAGAGAGTACCACAAGGTCCTGACGCCAGGATCCACCCCAGCTTCAGCCAGCCCTGGGTCATGGGCACCCGTGTGTCAGGGAGGTCTCTGGACTTGAACCTGAAACCTTCTCATGTAGGATTGCCTCAAAGAGCATTGCATTTTACTGCTGCACCACAGTCTGGTCCCTACATATCCATTCTAATGGCAGGCCATGCTTCCCTTCCAGCTGGTGCAATCTCATTGCTAGTGTGTTCCCCTCCTCCCTCCACCGCAGCTGGAAGGGAGCAGCAAACCCCATCTGCTGGCCTCTCTTTCCCCAAACAGGCAGAAGGAGAGGTGAGGGATAACACCGTCCCCTGCCTGATTGTCCTATGGTTGTGTAAATGTGTGAGCCACCAGCTAGATTGATCAGCCTTGCACACTTGTAAAGAGAAGCATGAGCAGCTTCCTTGGAAGGGCAGGTAAGGGTATGAGTGCAAAAGCCCTTTGTAACCCGGAAGGTGCCCAGAGTAGCGGGTGCTCTTCCACATCCGCACACACCTTGTTGCACTGGTTTTCCTGCAATACTGAGACCCCTTCTATTCTCATGAACAGGTGTTGCCTGGCCTGGGTCTGCCTATCAGGACTTAGGACGGATTTCATGGATTCTTCTTGCCAATCCATTCCAGGAGCATTACAAGCACTTGGGTATTCTCAGAGCTAAGGGTGCCGGGTGACAAAGAAACAGGCATCCAACCATCCAACCGTGGCACAGTGTTTGGGGACCGCGAGCCAGCAGGGGGCCCTGTGTCCTCGTGAGAATGCTGGCTGCCACCGGGGAGGGAGGTCCAGGCACAGCGAAACGAACGTCATTCTCAGGCCTTTGATTCCCATGGAGAGCCACAGAAGGGCATCTGGCCAGATCCCTCTTTTAAGGGCTGCGGCAGGCCCCTGTGAGCACACATTTCATCTGCAAGAAGAAAGCGAATCAGCCTGAGCGATCTGTGTGCCCTCCCCTCCCTTCTCTCTGTGGACAGCGCAATCTGCAGGGACCGTCTGGGTGCCTGGCTGCTACTTCCCTGTTGAGGGACTATTGTTGGTTTGTCTCTTAGTTCCTCATTAGAGTTTCAGCAGCTGCTCCAAGTTTTGTTCTCTGTTTTTACAGAACAGAGAACAACCAGGGTCTTGTTTGATAAATAAGAAAGCTTGGTCTTAGGAGGAGTTTTTCAAACCTCTGAGAAGAGAGAGAGGTCAGATGAAAGTGCAGGGCGACCTGGGGCCAGCCCTCCCGTAGCAGGTGAAGCCTGGGGCCTTCTTGCCTTCACTCACTTAACAGTGCTTCTGTGCTTGACCGTTTTCTCTGAAGGTTAGAGAGCTGGGCTTCCCAAGTAAATGTCCCTTCACGGCCAGGCTGACTTGCAGTCTTCTATGGATTCTCCAGATGGATTTCCTGAATTAGGTGCAGGGACTAGTACTTAGAAATACCGGCCATGTTCTCAGGCCTGTCTGTGCACAGCGAGTCACCGCCAGAGCAAGAGACCTCTCAGGCATACACACACTTGTTTCTTCCTTGTAAATTGTTCAAAAGGGCAAAGGGGATATTGTTTTAACGAGCACTTTCAAACCCCTTCTACAAGGGCTGCTCAGTATCTGGCACGTGCGGCTCTGTCATCCTCTGCTTTTCTGAGTAATTTCTTGAGAGCAGCAGATTGAGAACAGAGGGAGGGTCCGGTCTGAGTGCTGTCGTGGCTTTTAATCAGCTGCTGATCAATTTCATAGGTAGTTTCAGGGGAACATTTGACTTAGGGCCTGCCTCATGACAGCCAAACCCAAAACCAAGATGACACAGTGCTACCATCATGAGCCTAGAATTGATGTAATTCTCATAACTGAGAATTAGTGCTCAAGACACTATAGCTAGAAAGAACACCCACCATATCCCACGCCACTGTGAGTCATTTTGGGATCAAGGATATTAGTAGAAATCATTTTTCATGTTTCTTCAGTAATTCCAGCAATTATGTCTATTCACTTATTGTGAATATATCAATCATTTGGACTTAGGGACAGGAGAGAAGATATCCGAAATCTTAAGCTTTCTTCTTTCTTCTTTTTGTCTTCTAGAGGTTTGCACATTTTGACTAACAGGCGTGGTTAGTAAGATAATACTTTAAACTTTTTAAACGAGTATGTTGATACATTTTATAGATGTTCTTTCAATGCTTGTATTATTTTGAAGGTGATTCCAGCTGTTTTCTAGTATCTGTGGCCACAGATGTGTGTACATATTTGAAATAATATTTGCTTATGTTGCGCTATCTTCCGTAGGCCCTCCAATTCCTCCCTGACAGAGCAGGCTATTCTGCATTTCAGTACGTTTATGGAGCAACACTTTGTCCATTGTAGTCAACTGCCTTTGACTACCTGAGTTAAGAATATCCCACCAGTTAAAACAACTTTCCAAAACCTTCCTTCCACTTCCTTTACTTTCCAGACTGTATCCTTCACCTTCGTACATGTTTTGTAAACATTGTCATGGCGGGTTTTGGTACATTTATGCAGTCTAAAGGGGCACGCAAAAGTAAGCATATCTAAAAGGGACCAGAGCGAGTCCGCTCCTTACTTGGAAAACTCTAGAAGCGCTTGCCTTTCAGTACATCAGGTCTGCAGCTACATTAGTCGCCTCCGTGTCTTTAGATTTTGCAAAAGGAAAGTGAAATCCAGCAAGTCGTATCAGGAGCCCATTCAGAAAGTGAACAAAAAAGCAAACGAAAACCACCCAAAATGAGGTGGTGTATTTTTCACTTTGCGTTTTGTAGGCATACGTCCCTTCTTTATAATTTGCGATTTTTTCTGAGAGGTGGTGAATTTTCACTTCCGAAGCAAACAACACCATGACCAGACAGCCACAGGAGCCTATGACAAAAGGAACAAGCCACATGTTGACATGTTGGTACACGTATTTCCTGATGGTAGGCCAAGGGGAGAGGGTCCGCTGCAGCCAAGGGAAACCCTTTTCTCATCATCCTCTTTTACATTTTTCTGCAAAAATATATTACCGCCAATTTGTGATCATGAGCCTAATTCTCTAACTGGCAGATTGGGGTTCTTGAGTTATGCCCCTGTGACTCTGAGTGAGGAAGATTTGGCGGCTGGGGAGAGGGACAGAAGGTGAGAAAAGGGTTACAATTAGACTGCTCTTACACAGACCGGGAGATATTTCTCTTTGTAATATGTGGATGCTGAATTGCTAGAACACAATTGCAGAATCAGGCTTCCAGGCAGCCCCTGCTATGCCATGGCTTCAAGAGAACAAATTTCTCTGTGCTTTGCAGGACATACAGGATCAATGCGAGTCGTGAGGCCCACACAAAAGCCCTAGGCCTTCCTTCTCAAGGGTTACCATTTCTCCTCCAGCTCCGCCTAGCTGTAGCTGCCTAGAGGAATATCTGAACAAAGAGAGCTGTAGAGAAGGTATTAGGCAGAGTATCCGTTCTTGTTTATGCCAAATTCAAATTTTTAACTACGCATTGTGAACGCATTTAGTGCCTGCGTTCACTAAAGACAGCATTGTTTGGTTGAAGGTGGCTGGGTGGTAGCGGCAGGAAAGTTTCCTTGAAGAATATAAGTATTAGAAGCCTGCCCTTTCCTCCCCATTTCCTCTTTCCTGTAACTGAAATATGGATGCAATGGCTGGAGCTCCAGCAGACATTTTGGGCCAGGTAGCCTCTGAAATAAAAGCTATGTGCTGTGAAATCACAACAGAGGTGTCTAGATCCCAGACACCTGGAGCCCTAGAACAGCCCAGAGTTGTAACATCTAGATCTTTATGTGCTTTTTTTAACTTCTTTAATTCACTTTATTTTTCTCTCTTACTAATGGCTCACTGGTAGCTAAATCTAATCAGAAGAGATACACCCATGGTCTGGGTGAGATCTCGCAGGATTGGGACTTTGTACACTGGGTGGAACTTGGAAATGGTGATGGGCTGTCTTCCCTAAAAATAGAGACTGAGAGATCTCCGAATGGGTAGGTGCTATCAGGATGAGAAGTAGGTGGCAAGAGAAAACAGATCAGGAGGATGTTGGATGGCCAAACCCCATGGGGCTCCCACAGCTAGTACGAATCCCAGGCTGTCCCAGTGGGGTTCCAGTTAACAGGAAACTTGCGGAGATGGTTTTCTGATTTAGGTCAAACCAATCTGAATTTACATCCTGATTCCTTTACCACAATGTGAGATTAGGCGATTTTAATCTTTCCTCTTGAAATCTCAATTTCCTCATCTATAAAAGATAGGTAAGCTAGATAATCCACGATTAGCATGTAGGGTTTGGATTGATACTTACAAATGGGTAGTTATTAATAAGTTACTATGTATTTCTTCTTATAAATCTTTACTATAATCCGCTAATTAAAGTCAAACCAATTTGGATATTTTTTCACTTACTCTGTGAAATTAGGCAATTTTAATCTTCAACTCCCCATGCCATCCCACATCAGGTAAACCTGAATATACTAGAGTAGCTAACCCAAAAGAATGCATTGCAGTACCTTGCTTCTCCAAATACTTGTGATTTTTTTTTTTCCCCCAGAGAGTTTTGCTATAGGGTGTGAGCACTTGCCAGAGAGACAAAAAGACAGAAAGCAAGGAATCTCCCCCTGGGGGGATGGCCACACCACAACCCCTTCTTTGTTCTTCTGTTGAGATTTGGGGCATGCACGCATATGTACTTGGTGTGAGTTTAAGCCACTGGGTCTGGGACTCAAACTGTGGTTTACTACGTGGAAGTCCAGTGACGACCATTATGCCATCTGCTGGTCCCAAGTTTATGATCTTGTGTCTGATGAGCACAGACACAGTGGTGGAGATTTAAACACTAAAAAGAATACACGGGACCAGCAGTTAGCGTAATGGCTATGTCACTGGACTCCCATGTAGTCGACTGTGGTTCGTGTCCCGGACCCGGTGGCTTAAACTCTCACCAGGTGCGTGTGCGTGCGTGCACAAGATCCCGAGAGGAGAATGGAGGAGAAGGGATTGCAGCGTGGCCATCCCCCCAGGGGGTGATTTCTTGCTTTCTATCTCTCTGTCTCTCTCTGTCTGGCTGGCGAGCACACGCGCCCTATAGCAAAAACTTCTAAAAAAAAAAAAAAAAAGAAAGGAGAGAATACGCATGGTTTTTGCTCTCGCAGAGAGTGCAATTGGGCAAGGAACATGAAACAATTACAGTGAGTGTAATACTCCAGGCAGTGCAGGGAGCAATTATTGAGAGTGCCAATGGCACCATGGAAGGCTCTTTAAAAGCAGCCAGAAGGCAGACAGGTGGTAGCACAGTGTTAACACAACAGTAATCACACGGGAAGGTCCTGGGTTTGCATCCCAGTGCCTCCCTTCACACATGGGACATGCATGCCTGCCTCAGGATGAGGCTGGCTAAGGCTGGGGGTGGGTCATGGCATGAAAAGCCTGTGTGTGTGTGTGGGGGGGTACCTGCCCCTCCCCTTTCTCAAAAAAAGAAATAATAAATAAACTTAGGGGGAAAAAAAGGAAAGAAGTAGCCAGAAGGAACTGTTGGAAAAGTTAACCCATTGAAGGGACGGTGGGGGGAGAATTTTAGTGCCAATGACAGCTCAGTTGCTTTCCCAAAGGCCAGGTTTGGGCTGGGATGGGGTGGGAACGGATCTAGCAGGATGCAGTTGGGAGGTGGGGGTGAGCAGAAAAGGTGAACTCGCATCTCTTCTACTTTAGAAATTCACATGGGATTGGCCCCGTTAGCTTGATCATCATCATAAAGCACTCCCAAATAATCAAATGATATAATTTTCTTGAATCTTCACATCCTGACAGCCTCGGAGTGGTAGCTGAGCATATTTCTTTGTAAAATTTGCTAGCCTAACTATTTTTGTATTCTGAGCTTAAATCCAGCCCTCTCCCTCGGCAAAACCTTATTATTCCTTTATTGTTAGATCCTAACAAAAAGGCTGCAATGCTGTTTTCTCTTTATCTTTTATTTGAAAACTGTGGAGAAAATGCCATTGCTTTTACCATAAGAGCCTCCTTTGTCTGAGGAGATGGCGAATTTCAGACAGAAGTGCAACACTGTTTCCTTAGCATCTGAAAGGAAAATTCAAGCTCCGTTTCCTTTTCAAGTTGTTAAATATTTTAAAGCTACCACTTTGTTAAGGAAACAGCATCTAGTGAGCCTGCATTTCACATTCCTAAAGTAAAAGTTACTCGGGGTGTCTTCAACTCAAAACCTTTCGCCATTGCTAATATTTCAAAGCGCCCACGCTCCCCAAACAGAACACATCCTCCTGCGACAGAGAGGATGGGCTGAGATTCTGCTCTGGATTCTGGGGTTGACCAGGAGGTCAACTTTGTCGGTTCCGAGTCAGAGGATAGAAACCCAGCCTGAGCTTCTGACAACCTTTCAGTAACGGCTAAGCAATGGGAAGGGAAACAACGCAGTGTGAATTGAGGATATTTTTGCTTCTCTCTGTCTATGGCGCTAAAAGAGACAGAGGATCAAGGATAACTATTTATGACTTATGGACCAAAAGCTACTCCTGAAGAGTTTCTCTTTGTGGCCTGCCTGCTAGGGATATGAGAGAGTGAGTTTGAGATATGAGTGATGGGAGGGCTTCGCACATTTCCTTAGGCTTCAGAAGAGGAGGAGCTCTTGCGGTGAACCCCACATTTACAGGGTCCTGCTTGCCCCTCTTCTGGAGAGGACCCTTCCTAATGAGTGGGGAAATGTGTCAGCAATGGTATACGTCCTCTGGAATGCCTGAGCTCCATTCTAGGTGGGGATGCTGGGATTCCTACTCCAGGTAGTCCTAAACCCATTCCCAGGGTGTCTTCTCAGGGTCGGTCTTCCAAAGGGCAGAATTAGCTGGTGTGGAACACCCCTGAGAACCGAGGGTGGCCAAGAGACAGCTGTTTCAGTGGGCATAATCAGAGTGTGGACACACAGTGGGATGTCAGCACCGATATGCTTGAGGCCCTTACTGTGTGCTGTGGAGCCAGCCAGGGGAAGGAAAGTAGACCAAAGAGAGCCACCCCTGCTCCTGTCACCATATTTAGGTGCAGAACTTCCCAAGGGCAAGAATTCTGTTTGAATCTGGCCTTCCAGGTCCTTATGGAGGGTTATTTGTCAAGGTAGAACATACTTGAAGTTTTGTTAGATTAGACCTTGTGTTGGGCACAATATACCTTAAGTTTTATTAGATTAGACTGTGTTTGGGCATGTGGTATGCACCTTTTCATTCATACTCTTGCCCAAGGCCTCCCAGATGTTAGTATCAGGCCTGCATGCCCCCTCTCTTTTTCCCAGTTTGTCGTGTACACAACAGCCCAACTTGGCTAGGGCCTTTTGGACAGATTCTCAGCATGTCTGTCCATCGGACTAACCTGGCTCCTGCTCACAAGAAAGGTTAGAATAAACTAGCACTGTGGCAAGCCTGCCAGACCTTGCCCAAGCTAGAATTTGGAATATAACAGGCACAGGGCCCAGGTTTCGCGGCCCAGTGTCTTATTCAACAACCTGCAGCCATTTTCCTTTCATCAGTCTGATTTTCCCACCATCTGGCTGATGCTGTACTTTCTTTTTTTTTTTTTTTTTCCCCTCTAATGACTTTGATTACTGAGTTAATTTCTGACTGAATAGGATAGCTGAGTTATAGGGCTGTCACACCATGAGTGATCAGTCAATTAACAAACATTTGTAATGTGCTAGACACTGCACACTCAGGACTCTCCTCTGGCAGCTGCCTGGGCCGTAGAATTGGGTGCCTGCCTCCTCCAGTCCTGACAACAGGGGGAACAGAGGTCACAGCCAATGAGAGAGAGAGGGCCGTTCTTCATCCCTGCATGACCTTGGGGGTGGCTATGCTTTTAATGTGTGGGAGTTCAGGGA